AACTCGACGGAGCCCTATCCGTGGGTGGTCCGTTTTTTGTTTATCGCTAGCAGGTGATTGGCTAAGGGCGCTCGTACTACTTTTCAGGGGTGCTCGTACCACTTGGCAAGTAGCACGTGCTCCAACAACTGGCCGCCTGTTCGTGCAATATAGTTTAAAGGTATTTGTCTCTATTTTTTTTAAATCTGTATAAAAATATACTAATATACCTAGATATAATATGTCGCCCTCGTGCGCACGAGTTGCATGAGTGTAAAATCCGGCCCTGCTGAACAAATATATTTTCACAGGTGCTACAAGCAATCTCGAACAAAAAAGACAAAACATTAAGTTTAATGCCCATTTTCAATTTCATAAAAACCAGGATAATTCTGTCTTTCACTGGGAGTTTATAGCTTTTTTGATCCCTATAAAACTCTTGTATTTTTTCTGATAGAGAATGTAATAGTTTTATGGAACGTATACCAGACAATGTATTCAAATGTGAGTCCTGTTTGATTGTTCAAGCAAAACTTATAACAAGGTCATTACTTTTCACTTGCACTGCCTTGTCCACCCTGGATAAACTAAATCCTGCATCACCAAGCTTTAACAATGATTGCACAGCAACTTTCTCATCCACAGATAATAATTTGTAAGGTACTGATGCATTTTCATTATTTTTTTCCTCCGTTTGATTGTTCTCAATCCAATGACTTATCACAAAAAAAAATCCTCACATTTAGATTGTTCGAGAGATTGTTTCACCTTTTGCCTCTTCGCTGCTCGTTCTTCACGGTGTCCAGAAGTACTTGGTTGGCTATCAGCACTAGCTGACGCTTGTAGAAAGTGTTTTCTTTTTTTAGGCAGATTCAAGGATGGCACTGCTATCCGGGTCAGTTTTGGTCGTGCCATTTTAACTCCGAGAATAATTCAGAAAAAAATGTTGGGACAAGAATTTTAAAAGTTTTGTCTCCTAGACAATAGAACACATCGAGATAATTTAAATATTTTACCTCTAGCACAGTAGTCTTGTTTAGTGAAATGTTTGGAGCACACACGCATGGCATTTGAAACTTGTCTCCCCATAAGTAAAACTTTTTCCCAAGCTTTTCTTCGATCTAATACTTCTTCTTGTCCCAGTACATTCTAAATTTTAACACGATCACTATTTTTCTTAGGAAAATAATGAAAATGAATAGTTCTGTCTGTACCTTTTCGGGAATGGCATTTGTATACACAGCAGTTTGTGTTATGCTTGGACCGCTTGGACTTGGAGGCAGATGCCATTGAATTCCTGTAATAATAGCACCTCACAGAATCACAAAAAAAGCTTTCCCTTTATTATTATTTCCCACTATTCGACACAAAACACGTAATTTAAATTAGGAACGAACAGTAAACATCGAAAAAGCAAGAAAATATTCCAATACGTTATGTAAACAAACAAACTATTACTCGTTAAGTTAGTTCCAAATATTTCCGCCAGGTGCCGCAATGATTTCTGAAATCGCTAATTTTAAAACAAGTTTGCTACAACCACCTGCGTTTTCTATGGAATGAGTTTCAGTACAGACTGAAATTAAACGATATTATGATGGAAAACAAAGGAAAAGGTTTTCTACTTTGTGAAATGTTTGCGCTTTTTACTTCGTTACAATTTACTGGCAACGAAAAAAACGATAATCAGTATATCAAGGTGTTTAACCAGATTTTAAACAAGCATAATTTAGAGTCTGTATCATTGAGTCGCCGTTCTGATAAGAAAAGAAGAAAGGAGAAAAGTGTCCTATTCTTTTATGGAACATATTATGAAAAGATCACACAACAAACATGTATTGTCCTCTTGTCCATAAGCAACAATCTATTGCTGATTGGACAATGCACTACAATAAAGTATAATTTTGAATTGACTCAACAGTCCTCAGCGATGTGTGGTCCTACAGACACTTAGGCGGAAGAGGCATGCATCCTATAGGAATAGAATCCATACCAGAGCATATTGGGAAGTATACATACTTTTAATACTTGAGCAAGTTTTTCACCCCCATGCCACCCCTGTAAAACAGCTTGTGGAAATATTACCAAATATCTGCAACAGGAGTAAGTAGAGTTTTCTCATTATTCTGAAAATCGCATTCTATTTGTTAGGATTTTTTTGTCCTTCTTGTCTAATTGAACTTATATAAGTAGTGGAAGGAAAAGGAAAAAATCAAAAAAAAAAGTTAGACCTTGATATAGAAAATATACTTTTAGGAACATCGGCGACTTGAAATTTGATTTCATTTTGATAGATTTGATAATGCAACCCCCGCATAAGTTTTTTACGTCCAAAATGTGTCCAAGAAAAAATTAAATCATGCCAGATTAAATTTCTTACTCGCTTAAATCTGCAGGGTCTTCTTCCATTTTAACATCAATTTCATTGTATTGTGTTTCGTGTAGGATATTTTCATTAGTAGTGTCCAGTGAACAATCATCTTTCACATCCATTTCTTCTTTGATTTTTATTCTTTCTTGGATTGAAAATCTAAAACATTTTATCAGGGTTATTTATATTTAAAATATATATTCTGTCAGATAAATATTACTTGAGGTAAGTACCTATATTTGTATTAGATTATGATAATATGATATTAGATACTATAAAACTTGCTACTTACTCATTTAAATTTTCTGAATTTTCTTCTGATTTTATCATGTCATTAATGAAGGTATTAATTTCTTGCTTAATATTAGCTGCTGAACCATTTTGTAGTGAAGCCCTAAAAAAGTGTACATTGAAGTAAAACTATGTTTAGTTCATTTAATTTATCTCTATTCTATTTTTTAAGTTTATATTAGAAATCTCACCCATCAAAGTCTTTCTCAATTTTGACATCAACATTAGAGTATCCAGATTCATTTATCAAGGCATTGGAGTCTGGCGGATAATTAACTTTCATATCAATTTCCTTTTTGATATCCATTGTTCAAATTTGTTATATTGGAAAACTAAAAAAAACATTCTTATTTAATTTTTTTCTCTGTAGTTACCCAACTTCGTGGGTGGCATCGAGTAGCACTGTTGACCCTCTACATATCCTGAAAGTTCCGATTTTAAAGTCCCATTATTAAGAAAGTAAAAATCCACATTGATCCGTAATTTGTAATCTTGATTATTTCAACAAAGCCCCTTAAATTATTACAGTGGAATAAATGATTGTGTTTGTTTGGTTGTGATTTTTCAATTATGGTTCAAATTTCATTAGGATAATTTTTATTATTATATTATACTCTTTGCATGTTTTATCTTTAAGTCAGGTTGGATTAGTTGGAAAACAATATAGTTATGCGGATGATACAGTCCTAATATACAATAGTGGAACTGATATAGAGCTTTTGGGGACCACAATTAATGATGACTTACTTAAATATTCTCAATGGTTGCATTATAATAAATTGAAGATTAACATTGAAAAGACTGTCTTTATATTGTTCAAACAAAAAAATACTCTTATTTCAGAAATATGTATCTCTAAAAATTGATAATGTTCAGCTTTCTAGAATCAGTGCTACTGAATACCTAGGTTTAATGATAGACAATAGATTAAACTGGGATAGTCATATCAAAAAAATAAATGACAAAATTGTTCCAATGCTAGGAGCTCTGTACAGATGCACTAATTACCTTAATACAGCAAATATGATCTATAATGCTGATATTGTCTCGAACATACAATACTTGATCAACATCTGGGGAACATTAGGTAAACCAAACTTCAAAAAAATTCAAACACTTCAAAATAAAGCTATTAAATAGTTATTTATACAACAAGTGTGTAAAGTGCACCTTTTTTCACGAATGTAATCACATGAGTGAAAAAAGGTGCTTTACGCACGAATTGCATACATTATTTTTTCCACTACCAATCAAATATGTGTTAAAAATACATTTGGATAAATACTTTACGCACCAGTGTGTACAGAATTTTCACTTTACGCACTAGTGCATGAAATAATTTACCAGAAAAATGCCACGTTGACAGTGTCCACATCTGTCATTAACATTACTTTACACACTAGTGTGTGAAGTGAATTAATTACTTTACGCACTAGTGCGTGAACTGAAATTTTACGTCTTCTGAAAAGTGCGTAAAGTGAGTACTTTACGCACGGTAGTAGAAAAATAACTCGAAAAATAATTTTTCTGCACTTTCCAGATAATTTCATTATCATATCATATAAGTTATAGTAACATTCAAAATGGCTTGCATTCCTTGCTGGGATTCAGTGTATTAATAGATATTTTTGTATAAGTGCGCAAAATGCTCGGCAAAATGAGTGTTTTTTCAATGGTGCCTGGTAGTGTCAATTTTTACAGGTGAGGTCGAGGCCAAAAAATTCGAGGGTGCCCATAAGCAAAAATGTTGCATACAAAATACAAATTACATTTCCTAAGGCCGCGCGCAAAGCAGTACTTTTCCGCACTCATTTCCGTGCTCAAGGTTATACTTTTCCGCACTCCGTGAAATGAACTACTTTGCGCACGCTTGTTGGAAAAATGTTGATTGTATTTCGTATGTGACTTTGGTGTCTTCAAATTTATTTGGCCTTAACCTGACCTGTGAAAATTGACACTCTCAGGTACATACCATTGAAAAAACTCATTTTGCGCACTTAATAAAAAATAACTAATAATACACTGAATCCCAACAAGGAATGCAAGCCATTTCTAATATAACTATGACTTTATATGATATGATAATCAAATTATCTGGACAGTGCAGACAGATTTCAGTCGGCACTGTCTGGTCAGTGCAGTAGTCACTCCCTAGCTTTTAACTTGATACCTTTAAATTTAAGACAATGTCCTAACTTTAAGATATATATAAACCATTTAAAAATGTCGAGAAAAATGTATTTAAAAAGTAAAAACTTTGTATTTTGTATAGGATAATGAATTTAATATTATAGTTTTTTTTAAATCAAATTAATTAATTATAAGTATCTATCTATTTATTTTTATTGATTGTACACTCTCAATGGTATTCTGTCCTGATACCAGCAGCTTTGTTGTCTAGGGATAATAACAACATTGTATAAGACTTAGCTTTGGTTTGATATCAGATATTTATATTTTGTCAACATGTATTATTGTACAACTGTTGTTATTCTATTAATTTAAAAAAAATAAATGCAAAAATATTCATATATTATATCACAAGACCTTTAAATTGAATCTATTAAACTATCCAACATATTTTGAGCATGATTTTGCTTGGAAAATAGTGGAATGCACAATAACTTCATAAAAGTTATTGTGCATGAGACTATTTGCCAAAAAGCAAAATTATGCAAAAAATATTTGGATAGTGTATTCCATTTAAATTTATAGGTCGAGTGGTATACAGCTAGATTATTTCCTGAATGATTAGGATTGAATTGTTGGCGTCAATCCTATCCAAAGAGTTCTATTTATTATAAAATGTCAGAATATTTCTACAGAGTTGTTACAAGCTACACAATTGTGTAGTTTGCTACACAATTGGACTATCGATTACACAAGTGCTCCCCAATGACCAATTTCATCTGTTTGCTACAGTTTTTAATAAACTGCACAGAAATGCTACACAATGGATAAATCACCTATTCCGTAACTCAAAATTCTTGAAACGGTAGTAAATTTAGCCACTTCCAATGTGGCGAAAGATGTCGCAATAAGCGATGAGTGTCAGTCGAGACGGTTCTGTTTTTCGTTGGAATCTTTGGATCAGATCTGTTCATGCAAAGTGGCAAAAGTTGTCGCAAGTGTCCAAAACTATTACCTTAACTTCAAAGTACAAATTCGGAGCCTTAAGCCAGAGTCTCATGCCTGCGTTTTTCAACGTCCGATGTCAGGATGGACATCCTTTATATTGACATAATCGTATAAAAAGATGTCAGAATAGAAGGTTCTTCGGACATCGGAAAACGGATGCATGAGAGCATGAGACTCCGGTTGACATGTCGCCAGCGTCTGCTGTCATGGCCGTCAGATGCTCATTCGCTTGTCAAATTGAAAGTGCACAATTGCTTAAATAGGGAATTTTCATGTTTCTCAAATTATTTTTTTTTAGATACTTCTAGTGATTAGTTATTACATAGTTTTCTTTTTTCCCATTTTAATTTATACGTTGTATGAAATTTTTTTTATTGAAATTCAAATCTAGAACTTTGGCGCGAAAACACGAAATCTCAATATGACAGCGCTTTTGACGTTAAGATTTTGTAAACAAGTAAACAACAAATACGCAGCAAACGAACTCCAGCTAATGCAGTGCTATTTTTGTGTTATTCAAGTGTGTTAAAGTTTGCTTTTCATGAAAATTGTCGCAATGGATGAAGAATATTATAAAGGACTGCTTTTGTATTTTTTTTTCTTGCAAGTTCCCTATTGACAGGTTTGTTAACAGAATCGTGACGTCAAAATAAGTCATATAATAATAATAAGTCTTTATTTCCAACAGGCCAGAAGCCCAATTACAAGAAAATCAATATTAATTAATTGCAAAATAACAAAAAAGGAAAAATTAACTAAAATTAAATTAAAAATTAAGGTATAAAAAGGTTGCCTCTGTAGTAGAGTTAGGTATGTGTTCTCACTAACTCTTCAACAATTAAACTAATAGGGCTGTTATAAATATCGCAGATATCACAGATCCCGTTAAAAGTATAACACATCATGTATAATGGTGACTGGAATAACACATTTGTCCGGGGAGTATCGAGAAAGAAGGTTAGTGAGCGTCTGGCATTCAAACGAGGTACCAGAATGCTAATATTAGACAAAAGGAAAGGACAATCAATTATATTGTGGAGCAAATTAAACAAAAATTTAATCAATAATATCTTTCGTCTAATAAATAAGGATAACTCGTCAAAGCGCGTGAGCAAAACCCTGTTATAACATCCTCTCTCCGGATACACCCCGTCACACTTAAAAACAAGATATTTCAGGAACCTACGCTGAACCGACTCCACCGAGCTCACATGACATGCGTAAATAGGGTTCCAAATGATGCCCCCATAATCTAGTTTTGAACGTACAAAGCAGTAATATAATAATTTAATAGTCGATTCGTTTCTAAAGTCTCGAGAGTTTCTGATTATAAATCCTAGAATGCGATTGGCCGACCGTGAGAGGTTGTCTCATTGAGAAATGAAAGTGAATTTAGCATCAAATATAATTCCAAGATCCGCTATTTGATCAAGTCGGTCCAAAGCAGTTCCGTCAATAGTATAAGCATACACAAGTGGTGCCCTTAATCGAGAAAAACTGATAATGTTGCACTTTGACAAATTAAGGCCTAAATTATTATCAATACACCAACGACTCAAAGTATTCAAATTGTCCTGAAGAAAAACACAGTCATCGGTATTGCTTATATTGTGATAAAGCTTCAAGTCATCGGCGTAAGCCAGCTTATTACATGTGATCGCACTCAGAAGATCGTTCATAAACATATTGAATAGAAGCGGGCCCAGATTAGAGCCCTGTGGGACTCCAGACGTTGCAACATAAGCCTGTGACTTGAAACCCTCAACTTGTACGAACTGAGTACGACCCAACAAGTATGACCTAAACACTTTGGTGAGCCGTTCAGAAAGCCCAAATCCCTGTAACTTGTTCAGCAACACACAATGATCTATACGGTCAAAGGCCTTCTGAAAGTCTGTATATATCACGTCCACCTGACCTAGAGAATCAAGTGTTTTACATACGTTTTCTGATAAACATGATAGGATTAGTCATGCATGACCTGGCATTAACAAATCCATGCTGATCGATCGAAATTACATTCCTGACATTATTAAATAAATAGTTATATACAATGATTTCAAATATCTTAGAGAAGTTGCAGAGTAAAGAAATCGGCCGGTAATTTGTGACAAGACCAGCATCACCCTTCTTTAGAATAGGAGTGACGCGAGCAGTTTTCCAGATCTCTGGGAATTGATTCGTGGACAAAATTAGATTGTAAATATAAGTTAAAGGATCAGCCAATGCATAGACACAATCCTTAACCAGAAAACTCGGTATGCCGTCAACACCAGATGTCAACTTGTCCTTTAGTTTTTTGCTTGCTGCAATTATGTCATGATCATGGATCTCTGATATATCTATGTAAGGAGCATTATTAAAGTTGGGGTTTATATTTGCATTAGTTGAATCAACATAGACACTCTGGAAAAATCTCGCGAATGAATTAACAATATCTTGAGGGTTATCAAAAAAGATGTTGCCAGCATCCCTAACCATGCCCGGAATTCTAGATTGGCCCCTTTTACTAGATATAAAAGCCCAAAAGTTGGATGGATCATTACTAATATTTCGTTCCGAATTAAGTAAAAAAGTCTTGTAGTCATTCCGTATCTGACCCTTAACCCGCAGCCTCAACGACTTATATTTTTCATGATAAAAGGTAGTTTTGTATTTTTTGAAATCCTCAAGAGCTTTCTCTTTCTTAAGTAGGTATGTTACTAATTAATTCCCGTGTATAATAATTTGGGAATCTTCTATGTCGTTTAACTTTTCGTGGAACACAAATGTCAAAGATGTTATCAAGAATCAGATAGAGCTGCTTACAGGCAGAATTGACGTTGCCTGAATTAAGTACTGGAGTCCAGTCAGAATCGAGAATGAGGTTGTATAGTAAAGGAAAATTGGCTTTTCTGAAATTATATTCCCTTGACAGATTGCTGCTTATTTTAAAATTTGTAATTTGCTTAAAAATTATGTTAACTTCCATTTCAAGAGACGGGCGATAAATATCTTCTTTAACAAGTGGCATGTCATTTTTAAATATAGAACAATCAAAATTAGCAAGTACTAGATCCAACAATCTGTTATTTACATTTAGAACTTGATTAAGCTGAACCATGCCAAACATTTCGATAAAGCCTACTAACAACGTCCGCTTTTGATTGATGGCATTAGTGTCAGTATATGCAGGAACATTGAAATCACCTAATATTAAAACATTATTCTCAAATAAACGGAACAGTATTGCAAATTGTCCTAAAAATTGTTCAAAATCTTCCACATTAACACGCGGCGGTATGTACAGGGTAAATATATACAGACTCTGGAAACCGATGAGAATTTTACAGCATAAAATATCAATTATGGGCGTAATATTGCTAATAAAGTCGGCAAGATCAACCTGCTCAGACAGCAAGCCCCCCGACACACCCAGCAATACACCACCCCCTTGAGTGTCCTCGACGATTCCAAACTTACGATCAGAACGATAGACCTTAAATGATTCAGGAAAAAGTTCAGCATTAAATACACCTGGCCTAAGCCATGTTTCGGCAATGCCAATTATGTCGAATTCTGATGCGGCGACCGAATGCATGAAGCTCTCCATTTTAGTATTGAGACCCCGAACATTCTGATAATAGCAACTCAACCGGGTTATCTTTGACGAGCTTGAGGACTGCGGACAGACTAGTTTTTTGCCACAACCTTTGGTTGACCATTAACATATTTGATCTGAATATTATCTTCGCCCTGTACCTTACGTTCGTTTAGTTCACTTCTGACAGTGTGGAGCTCGCTGCGTTGTTTTGGTGTCATATCAGTTTCAATATATATTTGCTCATCTCTTATAGCTTTGATTTTATTTCTCAAAATTAGACCAACATCCGAGGCGTTAATTAGGGTAACTTTGAGGGCTCTGTGGCCGTTCTTGTTAGGCTTGCCAACCTTAGCAACCTTGGATACGTTAATTTGCTGAGCAGTTATATTGGAAAGTAAACTGCTTACTTGGGCAGTTTCAGGTTGGTCAGCGATTGGTCCATAATTGAAGATCATGATGTTATTCATACGTTTATGGCGTTCAAAAACCTCATTCATTATTTCCGCATCGGAAGAAACAGGTGTGGCAGATGTTGACTGTTGGGGTTCGACACCACTAAGAACTCTATCAATTTTATTTAATAGAGCATCAAAATTATCCTCGAGAATCTCTATTTGACTTCTCAGCATAGGTATGCACTTTAAGCTTTCTTCACAGTTGTTACAGAAATACTTTATATAAATATTGTGCAGTATAAAATATCGATTTAAAACAAATTTGGAAAATTTTAGTTCACTTGCAAGTTCCCTATTGCTACACAATTTCAATGTGAAAGTCTACACATTCTGCTCTGTAACAACCCTGTTTTTCTATCAAAATGCTGTCAAAAAAGGTAAACAAAAATTTAATCGCTGATTAACAAGGTCTTGTGAAATAATCACTTATTTAAACAAAATTCATTCAAAAAATGATGTTGTCTGATGGGTCAATTTTATAATGAATGAAATAATCAATAAAATAACCAAGTCAACAGCCAGGGAGCCATCTGTCATCTTCTCAGGAGCAGCCCAAGAGCAAATCCATAACATGAATTTTTCCAATGTGTCCAATTCATCAGTGCCAAACCATTGACCAAACCAAACAAATTGAACTTATAGGATAAAATCGAGGATAAAATCAACAAATACTATTTACATAATATTTATATTTCTAGAACTTTAAAACAATTGGGTACATTCAGGCGGTGCCAGAGGCTAAGTTCAGCCACCCAACAGGGACTTTATTCTCAAAACAGGCAAGCAGCGTTCTCATGAGATTGAAGGTTCTGTCTTCGTTGTCCCAGGACAGAGCACGTCCTCGGTTTCGAGAATAAAGTCCCTGCTGAGCAGGGTTGGAAAAAACCCGGGTTTTTTGAAAAAGTCCAACCCGTCGGGTTTTTTTGGGTTTTTATGGCTTTTCTGTTTTTTTTTTGGGTTTTTTCGGGTTTTCCGTTTCTTTCTTCAAATTTGATTTATAGTTTCTACTCTAGCAAAAGTAATACAAAAATTATGACTTTTGTTAAAAAAATAATAATCCTTACAAAATAAAGCAAGCCACTTGATATAAATAATTACACTTGGCATTAGTGCACTGCACCACGCCTCTGGCTGGCCAACCCAGAGACTCCGTGTCATGTAGAATTCTACATGTCAACAGGATTATATAGACTCGGCACCACATTCTATATGTTGAATTCTAAAGTTTACATGGTACTGAGTCCCTGCCCATACCTCCACGCCAACAGCGAACAGCCGGAGACTAGGGAATCATCGGGGAATCCCTGATATTTCCTGTGAAAATGACGCTCATTCAACTAAAAATTTGCTATTTTTAAAAAAAACCCAATAATGGTGGGTTTTATCAATTGAAAAAAAACCCAAAAAACCCCACTCGGTTTTATAACCTGGGGAAATTCTATGGCAACCTGCTGAGTGGCTGAGTTTAGCCGCTGGCACCGCCTGAATCCTGAATGTACCCAATGCCAATGCTATTATTATTATAACACTTACCTACTTGCTTTGTAGGGTCTGAGAACCAAAAAAAAAGCAACAACCAAAAACCAATTATTTCTCGAGCCAGGGGTATATTGCTATTTGTCTTTGTTTGACCTTCGCCCAGTTGTTTCCGCAAAAACAACGAAATACAGTACCTTTTTTTACCTATTTAATTAACGTCAATTAGTAAAAATCTATGCCGATTGCTGTATTCTGTTGTATGTGCATCTATGGACTATGCTATCCTGCTATATTATTATTATGATGATGCCGATTCGATTCCAGCCGCCAGCCCAGCTGGAAATGTGAAGTGTGAAGTAGGGATAACAAACTATCGATAGGAATATCGATACTATCGATATTTTTTTAATTTTCGATAGTATCGATAGAGCTGTAACAATATCGATAGTTCCAAAAGTAGTCAAAGGTAAATGAAGACATCTGTAAATTGAGGGAAATATAAAGAAATCTGTAGCTGTTCTGAGAAATCTGTGATTATTTTTTGGGGGTGGGGGTAGACATGCTGTGCTGTCAATTTTTAATTTTTTGGTTAGGAGGAATGACGAGTGACCCTTTGATGCAAGGATGATACACACTACTAAGGATGGCTTATCCTCATAAGGCCTGTGTGTAACAAATCCCCCCCTACCCCGCCTAGCCAAAAAATCAGTTGTGACGTAAACATCATGGCGTTTTTCGTCTTGACGTAGGCTGTTTGCACCACAGGTTATGTTATGATCTGGCTGCTGGCTGGAAATTATGGAACTATTAGTTTCTAGTATAATTAAAAGTCTAAAATTATAAAATTATATCAGATACATATAATCATGACTTTTAATCATTACTGTTGTGTTCCTCAATGCAAGTCTTGGGCTAAAAAAAAAAGCTGACAAAGGATTGAGTTTCTACATATTTCCCCTTGAAACAGGCCCACGGGTTTATTTGGAAACGAAAATGGAAAAAGAAGTGTCGAGAAGAAAAGCCTTCTGGATTTTAAAACTTCGTATTGGCAAACCAGTCACCAAATTCATGAAAGTGTATTCTCTGCATCTCAATTAAGCAAGAATTTTGTGTTAAGGTAAACAAACATAATGGATAGTTTTGTGCCCTAGCTTCATTTTAGGCCTGCTTCTAGGCATTTATCAAGTACTATCTATTTTTAAAATGTTTTGTTTGAAAATATTGACTGTTTTTATTATTTACAGGTGAGAGTACAGGTCTTAGGGCGGGTATTATAAAACTGCTTTGACAGTTAACTTAAAGTTAACTTTTTGAATTACATGTAATTCCAGAAGTTAACTTTAAGTTAACTCTCAAAGTAGTTTTATAATACCCACCCTTTAGAGGTACAGGTAGAGGTCGGATATTGAAAAAAACAGTTGTACCATCCCAGAATTTGCCCTCTTCTATAGTGATCCATAAACCGAGCCAAAAAATAGATTCCATGGGTGCTGAAAAACTTGCCGAAAGAAAAAGAAATCAAGATTCTAGTGAGACTGATACAAGTAATGAATGTAGTTATACTTTTAATCAATTATTAAACTCTTCTCAGATAGGCATACAAATGGCCGAGCAAACAGCAGAACGTGTAAAGTGTTTATTAAATCCTAATTACCAGTATTATATTATAGGTAGTTCGAGTAAAAATCAGATTTGTGGTCAAGTTATTTGACTTTGTTAATTTAATTTTCACCTATTTATAAATAAAAATAAAGAGTTGTTTATAAAATGTTTATTTATTTATTACACATACAAGTTATTCAAATACAGACATTATAAGGGAGATCCATACCAGCCTTGAGACCCTTTTGGCAATGTCCTATTGTAGAAAGTTTACAAAAATATAAGAAAAAGATCCGGTTAGGCTGTTGTGTATATATATAATCATTTCGGGTCAGATAAACGAAATAGATTATAATGAATTTTGGCCTGCATCATCACGAGCAGCATTATGGGTGAAAATTATTACCCAGTGTGAAACTTTCGAGAACAGTGAATAAATAAGTCGATATTGCATTTGCAGCACATTGTTCTTCCTCGGCTGCTACAGTTTTGACCACCACATTGTTTTTTTTACGTTCAGGAAAAGTGTTTCAATAATGATGCAGTCCAATGTCCATAATACCTTATATCATTATTGACTCAAAAATCACTTGCTGCAGCCCGAAGCATATTCTCCTGTAGCGCAAGGTGGTACTTTATATTTCCTCGGGTATGTCTGAAAATAAAAATAAGGTTAAAATTGTATGATTTCCCAAAAAATTGTTAATTCTACTCTACCTGTGATATATTTCCCATTCGAATAAACAATTTCTGCACTAGCACAAAAGTTGCCTAGTAGATAAGTCAAAACCACGTTCCTCATCTGCTGAATCTTAGTCAGTGAGCTCTTTGCTTTCTGTGTGGGCTCGATATATTATGCCATCAACATTTTCATTATCATAAGCAGTATTCAAAGCTTCCTGATGGCTAATTCCACAAACAAAATGTAAGTACAGCTAAAAATGTTAGCTTCTGCCCAGGCCCATATGCCATATGGGACAGTAATGTTTACAAGAATATAATACATAAACAAACAATTTATGCTCGAATAGGAATATGTTTTTATAATAATATGAGAAAACCCTAAAAACAATTAAATAGTATAGAATAAATTATCTTATAGTTATTATACTTACATAAAGAAATCTAAACAAAACGCCGCGTAATTCTCCTAGGGCTCCATTAAATCATACATGCTGAAAACGTGTAAATAGGCGGAATGACGAAAGCTAGCCAGATACCGCGCTACTGGTTCCATCATAGCATAGGGTACCTTTACCCGCTATAATGGTTAATCAAAATCAAAATAAAATATTTTTCATGACAAATTATAAATTTATAAAACCGCTGGCGCAAACAGCTGGCGACTTTGTTATGACGTCAGCAGTGGTTGGAAACAGTTGAAAACCAATATGGCGGCAATTACCCAAAAAGGGGCCGATAAGCACTCCTTAGTAAGTTTATTCTCCTTGACTTTGATGGAGGTTGGAGGTTGAGTAGGCAATCCAATCCATCTGTCAAAAGGAAAAATTCAATATGGCGTGGCGGTCAGTAAGTTTGTTTTGAATATGTGTTTTCATGGATATTTTAATTATTCTGCTTCGGGTTTTACTTGCAGCTTTGATTTTGATTATTCAATAAAATATTTGTTTACTAGGTACGTAAACTATCAAGTCGAGCAGTAACTAGATATTTTTTTGTGTTTTTTGGTCCATGTGTAGGCGCCACGCCATCTTGAATGTCACGTGGTTTGGATTGCCTAATGATTATTTAAGGTTATGATGTTATTGTTGTCGTTTGATAAATTTATTTCGTAATTAATTACAAAATTGGTTACTTTGGTCAGAGCAAACTATCGATAGTACAATCGATAGTTACTATCGATAGGTAAGCCATTCTATCGATTTCACTATCGATAGTTTTTTTTTCGATAGTTTGTCAACTCTAGTGTGAAGTTCGAAATTAGGTTAGTGTGTACTTGAACCACAGACTTGAACATTAGAGGAGTGCAGTGCGTTCGAAATTACTCTGGGCGTCACACCGAGTGCACACCAGCCGTTCGAAAATGAACTGGTATAAACTCCGGTTGACTTGTTGGTTGTGGAGTTTCCACAACTTTGAAACTTGAGGTTTGCGAAGAAGGTTCTGGGTTGTATCCGGCGTAAAGCATAGTACTCATAACTGCGAAATTCGCACTTTTTTGACATTGCTTCGACAAATTGACGTTTTATGCGTGAATCAAACGTCAAATTGTCGAAGCAATGTCAAAAAAATGCGAATTTCGCAGTTATGAGTACTAGACTAAAGCCTAGTACTCATAACTGCGAAATTCGCATTTTTTTGACATTGCTTCGTTAAATTGACGTTTGATACACGCATAAAACGTCAAATTGTCAACGCAATGTCAAAAAAATGCGAATTTCGCAGTTATGAGTACTAGGCTTTAAACAAGAAAAAAAACAAGTTAAATCCTTAGATCACTACTAGAATTTATTACTTAATTGGTTGAGAAAATTAATATACTGAAGCCACTGTGCGTATATTGTGTGACGTGAGTAGCAGAGATTAATACATGGTTATGTGGAAATTAACATTACCACTACTGCTGCTCGCTTAGCGACAAACAGTTTTGTTGCCAACCTAATCACGTGACAAAATGATGGTTTGAAATTATAAAGTACCTAACCTACTTTTAGGTGGCAACCACGGTTTGCTGCTTCAGCATTTAGCATATAATAGGGCAATCCAAACAAAATGGTGGTCAATGCATGGCCAATGCCAAAAAATTGGCGCCATAAAGGACATGGCACGGATTAAATGGAAACTAAAGGCCAGTCGATTTTTTTTAAATTTTAATATGTTGTAGAGTGAGGGAAAAGAAACAAAAGTTATACCATGGGCCCATTGTGCCCCGACCAATAAGGAGACCCACTAAATAAGTTTAAAGAACACTTTAAAAACATATAAGTAAAACATAAAAACACACCATCTACACTTTATTCATACTACTAACTATGCCTTAGAATTCTATTATGTTATGGATACATCCTTTTCGCGAAAAAAAGACAATTGAAAATCGCGAATTTGTCTGGGGATGGGGGCAGGGAAGTGATAGGTACCTGTCGATACAATTTTTTGAAAGATATTTTCTATCTCTTTAGGGGGCCCTTCCTTCTTCTTGCGAGGGGGGGAAGGGCGTTAAAATCTTGGGTTTTTTTACCAAACCAACTTTTTAGCTAAAAAGTAGGGTGACCATATTTTTTTTGTATGAATGCTGTACGCATCTAAAATTTTTGGACAGGTGAGTGGAGAAAGTACTAAATGCAAATTTTCTCGACTTTATAAGTAGCCCGTTTTACTACCACTTAACTGACTTTACGAAAAAAAAAAAATTAATAGTGAAAGACATAATATACCTAATAGGTCTGTTCGAACAGAAATCACAAACCAATCAGAGTGAATTTCATTGGTTGAAAACCATAATAGTTGAAGTTGAAACCAAGGTTGTTTGGAAGAGGTAGGTTGGCTGCTTGGGTTGGCTGATAACTTTTATGACGTCATCTGGATGCCTGAACTGCAAATCTCCATTAGATCTTGCTAATGACGTCAACTGTTTTACCTGACAACCTATTCACTTTAGGAACTTTGGGTTGAAACTAGTTTTCTGACTGTTTCTGACTTTCTGACTATTTTCAACTAATAAAATTTGCGCTGACTGGTTTGTGATTACTGTAGAAACAGATCTATTATGCTGTGTCTTCTTCTCAGCAGCATGGAATAGAGAGGGATAAAAAAAGTAGTTAGCATTAAAAAGAATACTCTGGGAGATGATGGCGTAAATCAAGGATGATACACACTAACACAGGATAGCTTATCCTCATAAGGCCTGTGTGTAACAAATCCCTTCCTACCCCCCTACGTCAAACAACCAGTTGTGACGTAAGCAGCATGGCGTTTCTCGCCTTGACGTAGACTCTTTAAACAGCTGACGATATGGCAATGGTTGAAAACCAATATGGCGGCGATTACCAAAAACGAGGTCGATAAGCATTTTTTATGGCGTTTCCGATTGGTAGATTTAGTGCGGAACTAGTGCAATTTTTTCTATTTCTCTCTTTTTCTTCTTCAGATCGATTAAAAGGATGCAAATACACTTAGTGCGCACTGAGTTTACCAATCGGAAACGCCATTAGAGTGTGTATTCTCCTTGGGCGTAAATGACGTAAATCGCAAATGCAGAAATGTCATTAGTTATTGACGGACAATTTTTTGTATTTTTTTTTTTTAAGAAAAACTTAATTATGACCGGATCCGAATCGCTGTACGTTTGCTGTACAAAATCAAATGCTGGACAGACTTTGAAAATGCTGTACAATACAGCGAAATGCTGTACGTATGGTCACCCTGAAAAAGACAACAATATAAAACATGAAAACCTTAGTAATTTGCCTTTTTCGGTCATTTCCAAGCTTTCTTTAAACTCATTTAGTGGGTCTCCTATTGGTCGTGGCACAATGGGCCCATGGTAACTTTTGTTTCTTTTCCCTCACTCTACAACATATTAAAATTTTAAAGAAATCGACTGGCCTTTCTTTTCCATATAATCCGTGCCATGTCCTTTAATTCAAGCAATCGTGACCTTTTTCATCAAAAAACTGTTTTTTGTGTATTTTGTGGTGCTTAGATGATTTTCTAGTGTTTGAGAGGATAATTTTCGTATTCTAAGATGGAAAGTTTTTAGTTTAAGAAATTATTAGTAGAAAAAAGGCATTGGCCTCCATTTTGAATTCCATTTTGACAAGTCGTTGGATTGTCCTATAAGTTGCATAAATTGTATTACAATGTTTTATGTTTAAAGATAATTATGACTTAAAATGAAGGCTTAAACTAAGTAAAGGACAATCAACGATAATTGGTATTGACTTTACAACATCCGTCCCTCCTAAGAATGAAATTTGTAACTGGGGTTACGAATTTCACCAAGATTAGAATTACAAACTTTGGAATTACTATCAGCTATTTCGTTAAACTGGACGTCAGCGGTTTTGTCTATTCGCGGCACTCGCGTTGTTAAACAGATGCTTTCAGCGGTTCCACTTGGAGTTTCACATTTCCTTTTATCTTGATTAACGCACATTGTTTTATATTTCTTAAAACCTACGTAACTTACAATTAAAAACACTACTAAATATACTAGAATATAATGATGAATATGGTTAAAATCAATAGATTTTTGGTTTAACATCTTTTGTTCCTTAGCTTTTAATACATCGATGGAATAACTAATTTTTGCTAATTTTTCATTTTGATCAGGAAGTACTAAAATACTTTTATTCAAGGACAAAGTTTCCATGAAACTGAAACGAAGATCTTGATTATTGATCTCATTTTTAATGTCAAGATTTTGAAAATAATTTGTGTTTATGAATGACTCATTTGCTTCTTTGGTATCAATTGGCTTTAGCGTGACAGAACTTGTAAAAGCGATACAGTGCGGTGCAAGTACTAAAATGCCTGAATTGTTTAAACGAATAGAGTCTTCAAAATTTTGACACTTTATTGTGAGAGTTTCATCGTTTGGACTAACAAAAATCCAAGAATTTATTTTCAGAATTTTGATAAAAATTGTTTTATGAATGGCACTAACTCGTTTTTCAGGAATTTTCTGAGGATGAGTGTACAACAGTGCCTCACAATCATTATGTATAATTGGTAAAAGGAACAAGGGATATTTTTCTTTATAAACGTACTTATTATTTATTCTTGAACAATCTTTCATATCATTAATCATTGTTATCAAGCAAAAAATAGTTTCGCTTAAGACTATCTATTAGTAAGAAATGGTGTTCTGATGAAATAAATGAGAATATATGAGAAAGTTTATCATTATTCACTTTTATAGGTAAACTTGTCATCTTAACGATATTGTACGAAATATCACTTACAAGGGGTATGTATAAAATAAAGTACAATTTATAATTTGAGTAAAACACATTTGGATGCATTGTTTTATACAGGTCATGAGAATAATGATGATAAAGAGGTACAGGAAATGATAACCCTTTTGGTAAATACATGCTTTGCTTAACTAAATGGTTTATGAGCCTTTTTGGACTTAGGACTAAAGGATGTAAAATACCATTTTGAGCATACAAAATTATGTTTAATAGATCACTTTGGTAAAACTGGAACTGTTCGGAAACCAGTTCGAATAAAGAAATATACTGTAATGCGAAATTTTCATATGAAGTGATATTATCAATAACACCTTTTATGTGATTATTGATGAAAGTTTCAATTTGATTGACTTTTCCGTTTAAATTTTCAAAAATTTGTTTATGTCCGATTGACCAATAAAGTGCTATTTATAGAACAGTTTTGCGTCAATGAAGTAGCACTTTATTGTACTAGTAAAATAAAGTGCTACTTTATTTTACTAGTAAAATAAAGTGCTATTTTATTGCCTACCTGGACTACCTGACAACCTGCCAAAGTGAAACAGGTCCTGACAACCTGCCAAGGGGAAACAGGTATACCTACGCGAATTTTACTTTTTTCATTCAATTTTTTTAATTATTAACAAAAACCAGTCGGAATCGTACATAAAATCATGTATATAACGCTTACATAAACAGGCTTTATTGACTCATTATTTAATAGCCTCGCTCGCAAGCTCGCTCGTCCATAAAATTATTCGTACAATAAAGCCTTAGTTTATGTACTTGTTATATAAATAGCTATTATTTGCTTAATTTGATGAGTTGAGAGATAGAATGGTATTTTCAAAAATACTTGTTTGTTCTGACAGTAAGTGTTGCATATTTATCTGATTTGTTTCCAGTTTTTGGAGAATTTCGTTGAAATGTTTAGCATCATTTTCATCTAAGGTTCCAAACAAAACCTTTGCAACATTGCCTACGGCATTGACTAAACCTCGTTTGGTTCGATTTAAAAATTGCTGGCTATTTAGAATTTCTCCAATTATACTGTTATTATCTTGAACACGGTGAAGAACACGACTTATCCGATTAAATAGGCTCTTTGCCATAATGCAAGGTTTTAAATATTCCTTTTGAGAACCTCTCAAATCGCAAAGTTCTACCATTTTTTTATAACTAAAAATAAAATTATCGTAGAGGTCATAATAATTTTCTAAATCTATAGAATTAATCAACTTCCATGAACTAGTTTCTAAATGAACTGTATCAAAAGATTCGTACAGGATACCAGCACTTCTGTTGACTGCCTGCAAGGTGAAAAATTTCGTTTTTGTATCGCCCAGTATGCATGCAAATGAAATGGAAAGAATTGCTAGTAAGGCTTTCATCTGAAACAAGAATAAAATGACTACATTGAGTTATATAATTTTATCCCATTTTGACGTTTAAAAATGACATTATTGAACGCATAATAACAAAGGTATGTAGACGTTTATCACCTGAGTGACTTAAAATATTTTTAACTCACTCTCGGTCTTTAAGTCATTCTGCCAGTATAAAAATCTGCTACAAATACAAACAAACAACTAGTTATACCCTAGCAACTACCAGTTTCAATATTTGATATGCGCTCGCTATATGAATTCTTTTTATAATTTGATTCCTATTAAGTACCTTATTTTTCGAATGTCTATCTATCTAAAATGGGATAAAATTTTGTATACATCACGTGAGTTAAAATGTTTATTCATTCGAAGAAAATTAACCCACTCGCTAGGCTCGTGGATTAAACTTTCTTCTCATGAATAAACATTCATTTAACTCACTTGGTGTATAAATAACTATTAATCGGTTATTATGAACCTTTTGATGTTTATTTTTGACTAAAATTGTTGAATTTATTTCTGAATTTGCTTTAATTACTTTATAGGGGCCATTCCAAATTGGTTCTAGTTTTTTACATTTCCCTTTTGCGTTTGATTGGTTTTTAAGTAATACCATCTCACCCTCCTTAAAAGTGACTGGATTAATAGTTTGGTCATAAGTGGTTTTCGATTTTTCTTTAGAATTGATAAGATTTTGTTTAGCCAATTCATAACTATGTTGCAAACGACTTTTTAGCTCGTTCGCATAATCGTCATAGTTGTAGTTCAATTCAGGAGGCTTTTGTAAAGAATTAGGAATTTCCGCAGGGAACCCATAAAGAAGTTCAAAAGGAGTAAAGTTTGTGGCGGAATGAATGGAAGTATTATAAGTAAAAATTGCATAAGGGATCCATGTATCCCAATCTAATTGATCCTTTGTGACGAAATTTCGTAAATATTCGCCTAGACTTTTATGTGACCTTTCAAGACTGCCATTGCTTTGAGGTCTGAAAGCGGTCGTTTGAATTTTTGTAATTTTTAATAATTTACAGACATTTTTAAATAATTCGCTTAAAAAGTTTTGACCTTGATCCGTTAAAAGATAAGTTGGAGTACCGTGTCTACAAATGATGTGTGAAACGAATTTTTCTGCAATGGTTTCGGCTTCTTGATTTTCAAGAGGTACAGCTTCACAAAATTTTGTTAGTTCATCTTGAAATGTTAGAATATATTTGTTTCGGGAATTTGTTACGGACAGAGGTCTAGGGTTTCCATACGTCCGGATTTACCCGGACATGTTTGGGTTTTTAGGGTGTCCGGGGAGCATTTTTGTATCGAGCGTCCAGCAACCCGCATTCGGGGTACCCGACATCGGCACGTATCAAGCGCACGGTAGTACGAAAATCACTCGGACTACCTTATGCTCGATACTCGCGACTCGCGCCTACAGTCTCGAATATCTTTTTGAGTTTTCCTGGCTCCTCACCATCAAGCTACTTGATAATATGTATTAGTTTAATTTTGGTTCTGGTAGTCAAATCGTAAAGCAATTTTAATTCTAATAGTTCACTAAGTGGAATGGAAAGTAGAAAAAAACTTAAAGATTAATAAGATTTTGCTATTTGCCTAGTTATTTGATGCTGTCTCTAACAAACTATCCCAAACTAACCCTAAGGCTGTCCTTACCTTAACCTTTGCTCAGCTCCAATTTGGGTTAGTTTTGGTTAGTTTTGTTACTTAGAGACAGCATCATAAATAATTATTTACATCTGCCTGAATCTAATCTCCGCATTTGTCAAATAACGATTGCATGTATACATATCCCTAAGTGGCAGTGTTCGTTTTTGTCATCTTTTTCATCGATTTGCTCCGAAATTTTGACAGGCACGTGATTTGTAAATTGAAACTGTCTGATCCAGTCACGTGCCTGTCAAAATTTCGGAGCAAATCGACGAAAAAGATGACAAAAACGAACACGGCCAGTAAATAGCAAAAATCTTGTTAATTTTTACCTGCTTTAAAAATTCGATTTTTAAATCGTTCTAACATATTTCAAAAAATAGGCGTTTTTTTTGGAGAAAAAAGTATACAGATGATAATGTCATTGGAAGAATGACTAACACAATAATTCAAAAATGTTTTCGAAAAAACGTGAAAGTGGCCTATTCTATCTCGCCATGGTATTCTATTCATGATAAGGTTATGTAGATAAAACATAATTTTAATTTTGCTCTTACTTATTCCCTTACCTCGACTTCCTGCTTAGTCTTGAAATTAGTTCGTATTTCGCTGGAATCGACAAAGTGGTACATATAATTTTCTGGCCAGTGCATAATAAATGATAAACAATTAAAAAAAAAAAAAAAACTGAATTGTTGGACGCCGATCCATAATTTCGCAGAAGACTAGTATCAAGCGTACGGTAGCTTGACAATCGATCGGGAAATCAGACGCTCGTTATGAGACAGGCCTCGGTTAATACGACGTTACCCGAATGCGGTATACTGGGCGGTCGATACAAAAATGCTGCCGGGCGTATTGGCGCCGATAGCCAACTAGGAGTTGGTTGTACGGTGACGCTGAGGACATGTCTAATGAAAATCAAATGAAGGTGTTTTCCTACACTGCGTAAAAACGACTTGCGCTAGCGTAATACGGTCGACGCAACTGGACGACTGCTCTGAGAGCAGTCTATTCAGTTGTACGCTGCGTGTTGGCAAAGAAAGTGCTCCTGTTGTATTATACAGGGCGGACTTAGGGGGGGGCGGAGTGGGCGGCGGCAAATTCATACCATACAACAACCAAAATTTAATAGAAAATAAAAACGACACAAAAAAAAAATTATGAAATATAAATCGAACAGGGAACTCATTAGTATTAGTACTAAAGTAAAGTCATTTGACCAAATACCAAATAGCGCTTTCGCGAAGCTCCTGGAGTGAGTGACATCTAGCGTCACGATAATGTTTTTTGAAGTTTTTAATTTTCTACAGAATATTTTTCTTTACGCTTCTGTAGCGGAAATACTGTTTGGAGCTTACCTCTTGTTAATTTTAAATATGAAAATAGGATTTAAAAGGACATCTATTATGAAAAATTGAAAACAAGGTAATTGATGACTATTATCACTATTATCAGGTACATCAAAAACGTTGTTTTCAATTTGTTATGATGGAGGTTTATTTAAATCTTATATATTCATAACCAAAATTAGCAAGGGGTAAGCCCCAAAATGGCGGCGTTTTCCATAGGAATATGTAGGATTTTAAAGAACCAATCAAAAATGAGATGGCGAATGTCGCCACTGTGTGGTAATAGAGTCATTGTAATTTACGCCATAATATAGCGCCATCTATTATTGGTACCGGAATTTCACGATGGGGCGTAGTGTCGGACTCGTCGGGAGATTTCGCGGGAAAGGCGTGAAATCTCAAAGCCAAACAAAGCACGGACGGGAAGCTTTTTGTCACCTTCACGTTTCTCGTTTC